GATGTACATGGGACTACACAAACACGTGGCGTTAAAATCCGTCCCGATTTCTATGATGTTACATGACATATTTAGAATATGAAGGCATTTGAAGAGCCATGCTTTCCAGGGAACATGTTTTATCTGATGTTCTTCCATATAATAATAATAATGACAATGCTCACCAATTATTTTTCACCTCTTCCCAGAACTCAACCTTCTCTTTAATTGCAAGCTAATGCAAACTTGCTTCTGCACTTTTCCGCAGTGTTTTCAACGAACTCTCTGTAAAAACTAGATTTGATATGTTCATTCATTACCTCTTTGAAGATTGGTGAAGATAGTTTTAGTTTCTTTTAAAGATGATTTTCCATGGGTTTGAATCAGTGAATCAATGGTTTAACGTTTGGGTCTTCCATCGGTTGAATACTCTATTTCCAAGCATTTGGAATTTTTAGTCCCATGTATTGACTTGTATGCCATGTTCTTATTATTGCTCCTCTATGTTATCTAAAGGGAAAATGAGAAGACCAAACTGCTAATCGCTGCCCAACATCAGAAGGTCGTAGAGAAGGAAGCGGAGACCGACAGGAAACGAGCCGTTATCGAGGCAGAGAAGATTGCACAGGTGGCCGGGATCACATTTGCACAGAAGATCATGGAGAAAGAGAGCGAACAAAAGATATCAATCATTGAAGGTACATCCCTCATTCCTACATTTGGTTTGTTTTCCCGTTTGCATATTGACTCTTGATGCCAAACCGTATGCCTGTTCCGAACATGTTGGTCTCTCTAAGGATGAGATTATAATATGATTTTTAGTTGTCCCTAAAAGTTCCCCCTCTCGACCTCTTCCACCCCCAAACATTTCTTGCATTAATTAAAAAAAAATCTCTCCTCCTCTCTCTCTGTTTCTCTCTCTTTCTCCCATCTCTCTCTCTCTCTCTCCCCCTCTCCCCTCTCTCTCTCTCCCCCACATGTTTTTTGTTTTCTAATCAATTTACTGTTATTAACCAACCTCTGTCTATATTGACTCTCCATTATCTCTCTATAGTTGTGTCTCTACCTTATATTCATTTTCTGCTCAGGGTCTCCTTAGAAGGGATTGAGAACACATAATAATAATAATAATAATAATAATAGTAATAATAATAATAACATTTTATACAGTAGGCTTGCGGGTGCACAATGTGTGAGAGAGAGAGAGAGAGAGGGTTGAGGAGACCTGGAAAGGACTCTGACTCTGTAATCTTTCTTGGGGGTGTGTAGTCGTGAAAAGGACTGTTTGTTTTGTTTCTTAGCTAAAAGTTCTAAGGAGAACTATAGCGCTTGGAGAGGATGAGTGGCTCGACGTTTCGAACAGGTTGACTATCCGTCGTCAGGAGTGGAGAATAGCTGGCGTGCGTGACCTTAAGTCACCGGGGTGCGGACGTCGGGGAAAATTAGGTGACAGTGTGGGCTTGAGTCATCGGGGGATGGACATGGATGGTCGGCTCGTTCGTCTGACTGTCCGTCTGGGCTAGAGTCTCCGGGTTGCGGACTTAGAGAGTTTCCAATCCATGAGTGGGGTGTGTTGTCGGCGAGACGATGTGTGTGTCCCCAACGTAGGCAGCGTTGTAGTCTGTTGTCGTCTGCTGTGCATTGTAGCTGTGAGGCTGGCGGCTGCTTTGAGGGTTCGGCGGGTGGCGGTGGTTGATGTACGGGTGTCTGTCGGGGTGGTGAGGGCGGTGGTGGAGGCGGTGGTGACATGATGGAGGCGCTTTAGACATGATTATTTAGTTCATACATATTATATGTAGAATTATTCTGAACCAAATATATTCATCAGATGGTAAATTGTTTTCCCATTGTCCATCTCATACTAACTATAAGTCACAGATCTATAGAGAGAGCAAGAGACTTGATCATAGCTGCTTGAGAGACATTTCATGAAGCTCCAAAATAGTTCCCTCCCATAGAGATTGTACATGGGTGGGAACTGGTTGGAGTTTCATGATTTAGCTTAGGCCAAATAAGTAAAATGAAGTGTTTCTTGTCCCCGCCCGCCTCCTCTTTGGCCACCACCTCATTTTTGTCTCGCCTGCGTAGCAAAAAGCGAGACATAGGCGCCGCTTTTCCGGTGACGGCGACGACGGCGGCGGCGGCGGCGTCAACATCGAAAACTTAACCTAAGGTTAACTTTTTGAATTTTTGATATCATTTTTAAAGTATAGGTTCTTAGTCAATGAAACTTTGACTATAGGGTAATCAAGTATCCCCAATCATGTGAGTAGAATTTCAGATCACAAAGTCAAGGTCAAAGGTCATTTCAGGTCAACAGACTTGGACTATGTTGTAGCATCATCATCGAAAACTTAACCTAAGGTTAAATTTTTGAATTTTTGATATAATTTTGAAAGTATATGTTCTTAGTCAATGAAACTTAGACTATAGGGTTATCAAGTCTCCTCAATCATGTGAGTAGAATTTCAGGTCACTAAGTTAAGGTCAAAGGTCATGTAAAGTCAAAAAAACTTAGACTTTGTTGTAGCATCAACATCAGGATTTTCAAAATGCTTCTTCTTCGTTATTTTTCAACTGATTTTGATTCTGATTGTTTCATATGATAGGGCTAGGAGGGGGATTTAAAACTTCTAAACAGAATTGTGTAATTCATTATCTATGCTAATTTATGCAAATTTATTCCAAAAATAACAAAAATTGCTTCTTCTCCCTCATTTCTTGACCGATTTTGATTTGGGTTGCTTTATATCGTAGAGCTAACTTTGGTACACTAAACTTCTACACAGACCTTTGAAATTGTTCTCCATTGATTAATTATGGTAATTTATGCAAATTTATTCCAAAAATAACAAAATTGCTTCTTCTCCCTCATTTCTTGACCGATTTTGATTTGGTTTGCCTTATCTGGTAGAGCTAAATTTGAAACACTAAACTTCTACACAGAATTTTGAGATTTTGCTCCATTGATTATTTATGGTACTTTATGCAAATGAAATACAATTATGTCCCTTCCAGGGCATCAAATTTTAATTTTTTGACCAGTTCAAAAGTGTACCACATAAAATTTATGATATTTGTTGTTGCGAGATGTGGATAAGTGCTACCTCATTGACATTCTGGTTTATCATATTGAATTGCGTTATGCAGGCGAGACCGCCGAGAGCGTTTCCCTTGTTTTTACTATTTACTATTCAAAAGAAAAAAAGACCCCCCCCCCCCCCAAAAAAAAAGCCTTTGATAAACATTTTGTTTAAATAACTTCTAAATTGATACATATCATTTGTTTTGTCATACATTGCATCAGTATACTCACATAGCACAATATCTGTGAATAAATGGGCTTGCATGGCCAGCTATAATTAGTATGGCAGCCATCTTGGAAAGAAATAGCAACAAATTGCAAAATAGTAAATAGTAATGCCCTGCCTCCTCCTTTTTTTAAAAAGTCCAGACGAGAAGCACATTATTTTTGTTATTTGGCCTTATGTGTTACAACTACCTCTCATTGCGCTATGATGTCAGTCATCCCTTCTCTTGAAAATAGTACCTACTGCTGTGCTTCTAATATGGCATAAAAATATATTATTGTATTGCCCTTTAGGTGCCAAAACATGGGGTTGGTCGGTCAGAATTTTTTTTTCTTTTTGTTTCTCCCTCTTTGGGCTGATGTTTCTCAGATTTGAATGCTTCAATATTTTCTCTAAAAAACTGTTTAAAAAATATTTAAACAAAATTAAAAGCCGACCATAGATTTCAAGATTTTTGGGTCTGTCGCAAAGAGTAATGCAACATCTTTTTTGTGAGGCCTTATGGTGGGCAAAGTTTCTCCTACCTAAACCAATCGCTTTTTATTTTCTCTATCGCAGATGAAACTCATCTGGCCAAGCAGAAGGCGAGAGCTGATGCACAGCTCTATTCATCAGTCCAAGAGACAAAGGCCAATCAGGTGAGAAGAGATTCACAATGTTTTTGTTTAAAAAATGAAGAGCTTAATTCCAAAAGGAGCTAAATCCACTTTTGATGAAAATTGAGTTATTGATATCAGAACATTGTTCCTATTAGTACCCGTCTTTCAACAAATGATGTAAATTTTGGGAGCAATTATGAAAAAATGCACCTTCTAATATCACTTTTTCTGTAGACGCCTGTACAAAATCTGGTAAATAATCCTTTTTTCTCTGAAGTTACAAAAATGGATTTAGCTCCTTCTGGAATTAAACTCTTCAAATATATAATTTTGGTGCTTTCCGTTGTGAATTTTAGTCTGTCGGTGGATGAAGTACCTAATCCAGTTATCGTTGAGCCCTTCCCAGTTAGTGTTCTTTCTCTACACTGATGTGTGGTACGATTGCATTGAGATATCCAAAAGGAGTTGTGGTCTCTAGTGGATAAGTCACCCGACTGCAGATCACAAGGTACTGGGTTCAAATCCCATCCCAGCAATAACATCCTTTGGCAAGACGTTAATCTACATTTGCCACTCTCCCTCCAGGTGGTAAATGGGTACCCGGTAGGATGCGAAAGTTAATGCAGTTTTCTCAGCATTGTCTGTAAAATGACGCCTGGCTGGAATGCTCCCCAGGGAGTGGAGAATGTGCATACATTGTGTTAGCTTGTGTGTGCTTTTAAGCGTTATATAAGTGCAATATTATGTATTATATGTTATATTAAGATCCTCTGAAAATCTAAAAATGTAAACCTATTGCAAGTTGCTAGTTTTGTAGTGTGTTATGATCAAGAATCTCTATAATTCAAGTCATATTTAATTATAATTCAGAATGGATGCTTCACTTCAAATTGATTGCTTCTCTGTCTAGAATTTATTTGAAAACTACGACAGTTTCAAGTTTTAATGTGGCTTATATCCTCAAATTCAAAGTATTCTCTGGAAGCTGTATTTAAGTTTTTACAGATGTGTATCAATCAGATATGATTATTTATGTCTGGGGACCGACCTTAAACATTACCATCCGAAAAAGGTGACTCGGTCTTGTACAGGGGTCCGCTGAGTCCGTTTGCAGGCGAAGACAGAGAGGTGACCGTACCATGGGCATTACCTCTAGACCAACTCACAACTACAACCAGTGACTGGCTACGACTCTCGTTCCATTAATTGCTGTGCTGTTTAGAGTTTATTTGGAAAGTATGTGATAGTTTCAAGTTTTAAAGTGGATCATATCAACATTTTTCAAAATTTCTCTAGAAGCTACAACCAGTGACTGGCTACGACTCTTGTTCCATTGGACCCCACCAGCCTGTATATCCCTTCTCTCAATATTTAGGAAAAAGTCCTCTGAAAATCTGAAATTGTAAACCTATTTCAAGTTACTAGTTTTGTAGTGTGTTATGATCAAGAATCTCTATAATACAAGTCATTCTTTCTCCCAATATTCAGGAAAAACTGACCCCGCAGTACCTTGAGATGCTGAAGTACCAGGCGCTGACGGCCAACACCAAGATCTACTTCGGCAACGATATCCCAAACCTCTTCATGATGGGAGACACCAAGGAAGATCCAAAGGTATAAAAAGATTTCTCTGGCTAGGAAATGCGATTGCAAAGAATTTCAGGAAATCAACCTACCTACCAGCAATTGCAATAACCTCAAGCATCACCCATCGCCATAGCAATGGGATACCTCGTTAATGCTGGCAAACTGACTCTACACTGATTCTAACAAAACCTATTCTTTCCCGGTATTGGTAATAATGCTGGCAAACTGATTCTAATAAAACCAATTCTTTGCCGTTATTGGTAATAATGCTGGCAAAGTTGACCCCAAACTGATTCTAACAAGACTGATTCTTTGCCATTATTGGTGGTAATGGATTATTTGTTCGGTCTGACATTACATTGAGATATTAAATAATTCAAAAAATTATTTTTATGTGTGGATTCTCAAAAGTCTGGGCGATTGTGTTAGTGGCTTTTCTACCAATGAACTTTTTTATGTGAAAAATATGAATTTGTATCTCCATTCCAATAAATCGGGATTTGGGAATCCTCCTTTCCACCCGTTCCAATAAACAAATAAAAAATCAAGAACAAAATAAAGTACCAGATTACAAAAACAATGTGCGGCTCTGAATACCAAGGTAAACAGAAGCTAATGTCCCTGGCTAGGTGACATTCTACATTTGAGCTCTTGTGATTTCAAAAAAACTCTGTATAATATAACTATTTACACAAATACCAATGCATTCTTCTCTTGAAATATTCCTTGTTTCCTATTTCATTAGGTTTGCTCGCCTGTATGCTCCTTTCACTGAGTGTTAAATGCATGTTTTTCTTTAGTGTTCCTTTATTCATTCTTTGTTGTCTATCAAAATCTGTCATATTTTACAAGATGTGAAATTGCTTCTTTTTTTTTTTTTTTTTACTAATGCAAAAAGTTCAAATGTAAAAGTGCTAATAAATATACTCAAATCATTCATTCATAATTCCATCTAACCTCCACCAGGCTGTATCAGCAGCAGCAGCAGCGGCGGCAGGTTTGAACCAAGAATCTACGAGCAAGAAAACAGAGACCAAATCAAGATCTACAGGGAAATCACCCTCATAATAAAACCTTGGATTAGGAGTAATATAGTAGAGCACACTACCGGGTATCTTTAATACAAGAAATCACAGATGGCAAGAATTCAGATTCTGTGCCAAATTTTCAGTCCTAGCCAATTGATGGAAGGTATATCTTCGGAACACAATGATATTAAGTAGCAAACACAGACATAATAATAATATTAATAGTGGGTTCTTGTATAGTGATTGTGTCTGTCAGAGTCGACACTCCTGGCGCTCCACAATTTTTACCCGGCTTTAGCATGACTGCCATTATGGCCATCAATTTTTGTAATTGGAATAAGCTTAGTTAAGCTTAAGCTCAGTGCAAACTAATTAAACAAAAATTCTGAGAGGGGGGTCTGCGAAGGGAGTTTCAAAGACACAGTGCACAAGTCGGATATGTATTTTCCATCCATTCATCTTTAGTGGGAAGCATGTAAGTTTGCTGCTATAGGGGAAAATATCTTTCTAAATGATAGTGTTATTTTGAATGGTTCTAGATAAATGTATGTAAATTTTGTTGGTTATCAAATCAATATCTTATAACGATAGATTAGGGTTGAAATTACGTTTCTAGCTATAATGACAATCTTTGCAGTACATGTAAGTATGAGTTTTGTACTTGCATATATGCGTGAGATATTTAACTGGATTACAGAGACTAGACTTAGTGTACAGATGTTTCGATGTGCAATGCTTGCGTGTACGACTTCTAAAACTCGGTAAGTCATGCAGCAATATCAGGAAACTACTGTATACTACAACTAGACGATGGACTTTGCAATAAAAAAATAATAATATAAGAAAAGACAATATAAAACTTCAGGTGAATATGCCTTCATATATCAAATATAATAGGTCTTCAAAAAAAAAAAACACTGACTGGTAAAAGAATATGCTTGTTTGTTCAAGAAATGGATGAATTATACATGTATAGTTCTAACGTAATTTTCAGTCTGCTCTCTGTGTTTGAAACAGAACTAGAATATCTGAATAATCATAAAGTTTGTTAGGATACAGCATGAAATGTTCACTTTTGAATGCCTTCAAATGGCTTCTTTGATGCTGCTCGATTTCTTCTTTTTAAAGAAGAGGAAAATGTTTTATGATTCTCTTGTCATTCCTTTAATTTAGATTGGAAAAATTTCATGTATTTGAAAATTAGTTTTTTTAAATTTGTTTATCTAGGATATTAGAATGTTGAGGCCGATTGGAGAGTTGGTATATTTCTAGTAGTAAAACTGATTCAATATGATTTACTGCAACAAATACATTTTCATTTTATGTGTGTTAAAGATGCACTATAATCATATGCAATGCATGCAGTTATCATCTGTTTTACATATTATACTCCTGTATTCTGTTCATTCGTTCAGTAGGTCACAGTTACACATCCTAAATGTACAGTCAAACCTGTCTTACTAGTGGCTACCTCTATATAAAGGCCACCTCTCTATAGTGGTCATACATTGTGCCTCCCTTGAGAAAGAAATGAGAACAACACTCGTTTATTTCTAGAGGGAGAAAAAAAATGCATGGCCATTATAGACAGGTCGGCACAAAGACACATTTTTAGCTGTACCTGTATATGAAGAAAAAAAATGGAAAAAAAAAACAAATCTGTTAATACAAGTTTCATGGTTATTCCTTTTGAGTGAACTCACCACTCAAATTTAAGGAATTTTGTTTAAAATGCGAGAATCTTTCTTTTCCTGAAATATGCAATAGCGAACTCTTTTAACATTTAGCTTAATTACCTATATCTCAGAGAAGGATTCATGTACGTTTATGACTGTTTCTATGACTTCCATATCTATAATATCTTATATGTATATGTTTGCATTATGAGTTATTAAAAGGTATTTGAACTTTGAATTGTGATAGGTGAAACATATAAATATTATTCCTTCTTAAATAAGATGAATCATTGAAAGGGTGTTAACTTGTTTTCAAATTAAACATGAGTACTGATAAAAAGGAATCATTTTCTGGTAAATTTGTTTGACAATGATATTGAAGAGTTCATATTCAATGTGACTTTATTGCAATGGCTAGACTTTTATGATTATCTTAAATACTTGTTAGTTTTATCAAGAAATGGAAGTGCATTGTAGCTAACAAACCAGAGATCGCTATTTTTGGTTCTAAGGGTATTTCAATACTGCAAAAACAACTAATAATTTTGATTCATTCAAAAATATAGATGAATACTTGAAATATAAAATGAAACCTTGTGTAATTCAAATGTCTTTATATTTGTAATTTTTTCTTGTAGTATTTGATATGATATGATTTTATATTACTATTATCCATTTTGTATACTTTTGAATACATTTTGAAATTTACCTGTAATCAGTAAATTGAAAGCTTTTTAAGCTTTCCTCTTTTTTTACATTTCTTCTTTGGTCATAATGTTATCTGATGATTATTGTTCAATATTTGGTGTTATGTAACACAATGTAAAGTTAATTGTCACAAGGTAATTTTGAAGGTGTTGTGAGGCAATTTTGAGAAATATGATTTCTTACAGTTAGTTATGTTAGCTAAGATGTACAACTTGTATTATTCATTAAAAGAAAAAATCATCGGCCAATCCAATTGGCTCTCTTAGATGTCTTGGGATTTATAAATATTTGTGATGTTTTGATATATAATTATGCACATATAACTTTCAAACAACTTCATGTTCTTTAACCAAATAATTGAATTGATGTTCATTCCTTCTTTCTTTGATTTGTAGTGTTAACTAAGTGTTACTAAGACTGTTATGTGAAAGGACAAATGTTTATGACCGAATGTACGTACAAGGCAAAAGAACAAAGGCGAAAGAACAAAAACACATTCATATGGTGGTGATCCAACATGTGCTCTGGCGACAGTTGCTCTAGCTTTTATTTTGTCAAAGGTATAGGGTTAGGGTTAGAGTTGCAATTTGGTGTTGGTTTAGGTTTAGTGTTAGGGTTAGGTATAGTGATGGACCAAGGGTCGAAATTAAACATTCTGTTAGTGTAATAAATTGATGTGGAGCAATTATCACCAGAGCCTATGTGGTATACCCATCTGGTATGAAGGGAATGGTAAGAAGTATATTAGCTACTGGTATCTATGCTTTTACTAGTTTCCTGAATGTTTTTTTTTCTCCAGGAGATGGCAGAATGATAATAATAATCATAATAATAATGGTGGCTTCCAATATGGTGCACATGTCCGTCACGTTGTGATGCTCCTGTTGCCCCAACATCACTACCCCAATCATAGCTGGTGGCCACATATGTAGCGCTCTGGCATATCAGGTACCCATTTACACCTGGGTGGAGAGTGGCAAAAGTGGATTAATGTCTGGACTTTTTAGCATATTGAGGATTCTCCAACCGGGGTATACAAGTGTTTAAAAAAGGTTATCTGACAAAGAAAAAAAGAAGTATTCTACTTTTCCCAGAAGCATAAGTATGTCTCAAAAATATCTGGGGCATTGCCACCTCTTAAAGCATATAATCTTACAGCTTTGATTGTCTCTGTCTTAGTTTCATTTTGTGAATGGGGCATAAAATGCCCCATTTATCAAGAAATAGATGTGATACTTTCAACAAGGAGGACATTTTAACAGGTGTTTCATAATCTAATATCTTTTGTTTCTTATGTTGTCATTTTTTATATGCATTTGGTGTCACCTGTCCATAACCCTCCCTGGGAGTACACACACGTGGACATTAGGGACTTTTAGATTTGCTTGGACTTATACGTGTGACGTCCATTTAAGGCAGTGCATTAAAAGGACGTCGATCGTAGCAATCCACGTTGTCGTTGTGCAAATCTAAAAGTCTCTATTATTATGTGCCTTGAACTTGTTGGGAAAAAACCTTTGTACTGTTCAGTAAAAGCTGTGTAGACTTAATTAAAATTTTAAGATTTCTTATCTTAAAGAAATACTGTGCTGTTTGTCTCTTTCAAGTTTGTATTTGTTGTTAAGAGAATGAGTGAGGGAATGTTTGACCGGGTGGTGTTGGTGGCTGTATTGTTATGTAATGTATTTATTATCAATTTTGTTTATTGAAAATGTATAAGTTGAAAACTGCTGAAAATATTTGTGTCCCCTTGATATAAGTTCAAGATTTTGCTTCTTATGTTCCAGTATTTTCTTATCTTTCTGAGTTTCTGGGAAACATTTCATTAGCAACAAAACATACATTGTTTTTGATAGGCATAGAAAACTATTAAAGCCCATCTGCACTAGTTTGGCCAGGAGGGATTAGACCTCCCTGCATGGTCACTGACGGGTGATTATCTCATCAAATCAGCTTTCAAATAACAGTAAGAAAAAGGGGACCATCGCGCTCACCGATTAGATAGTGTTTGTTAATAGAGGGCGCAAGTTGCTAAAAGTAGTGCTGTGATCGAGGCTTCAAAATGAAAAGTTAGAAGTCATTAGATAAGATTTGATTTCGATATACAACATATTTTTCATGGGTTCTAGTCCAAATTATCATGGGCTTTGAATTGAATAGTTTCATACAACACACTAAATGAGTTTCATCTTGAATATTAAATCCCTCCTGCCCCCACCAACTTTGCAGAATATACAGTTTATAATTGTATAAGCTTCTCTGTCACTCTGCTTAGTGTAACCACGCTAGAATACTTTGTGCCAAATTGAATATCACATTATATTAATTTGAAACATTTTGTTGAGTTTATCAAAGTTTGAATGCAGGAGACAAATCGCCTTGATCATCATAACCCTTTCATACCAAGTATCAAAGTCCCGAATATCATTTATTTAGCTTTTTTTTTAGTTGTTGTTACACCTTGGCTTAAGTACATGCTTTCTATTTCTGTGATCAACCTTTTATTATCATATCTATACATTTATTCTGGTTCTTATTCCTATTATTCTATTATATTACATCTTAATCTCATCCATTCACCGAGTCCAATGTATTGACGTCTTTTACCCCTCATAATTCACTCCCGATCTCCCTTTCTCATTTCCCCGGCCACATAAAGTTTTCATGGGACAGTGGTATTGTTATATTCTTTATCGAAGACCTCACATACAAGTTCATAAATTGCAGTTTTACAATTCGACAAATAACTTGATTGATCACGTCAAAAAAAAAAATCATTGAAAAATAAATCAATTCCATTTAATGATATTCATATATTCGGGACTGATGTTGAAATGATTTTTTACTCATATTGTTTTGCAGCTTGAGTGTCCAAAGATAAAATTGAGCCTGTATATGACAGACTAGACACAGCTGTTCCGCTCTGTGTAGCGTGACGTAACATAGCAACTGACAAGCGCCCGCCCATTCAGCGCAACACGTTGTTTTGCTTGGGTTTTTCTTCAGCTTTTCTCTCGAAAATCAATAACGGGGCCCGCGATAATACACCCGGCAGGACTTGGGCTTGGTAATTGAACCACATGGAAAAAAAAGTCTCTCGCGATGAAACTAGCTCATTTCTTCTAGAAAAGTGTGAAAGTGTTGATAATCTACAGTACTTCATCATTATATAGCGAAAGGGAAAAAAGGAAATTGGTACTAATTTCTGGACAATTTGGACAATATTTCGAAATGGCTGCTGCAACGGATTCCCGGCGAACATCGGCGGTCGCCGAGTCGATGGCCAGCCGTCCCTACACCGATGCAACATGGATGACCCAGAGTGGAACACACCCGATGGGGAAGGGACAGATTTTGTTCACAGGTAAATTTTAAGTTATCAAAATTATTAAAACATTTTAAGGTTTTAACTCTAAGGGGGAGATGCAAAATTAGGATGGCCGATGGATGGCAAACCATTAGATCGTCATTGTGATTTTGTTACTCACTAATTAGATCTAAGTTAGACTCTAGTAGATCTTGACCCTTGTTCATGAAAATATATCTTGAAAAGTTGAATTTGAAACTGATGATTAATTAATAATATCAAGGTCAACAACCTGTCATCACAATCGCAGTTGTTTAAAATTAAATTGACTCATTATTGTCATTAATATTGCTATTTAATGATTAGACTATTTAGCAATCGGAATATAATCTACACAGTTGCAATATTCTATAGATTATAGACTCAACTTGGACTCTGACTGGACCCTAGTTTGAAGTTAAACTTGAGTCCAAATTGTTTAGAGGTAGATTACAATACCAACTAGATTAATTGGTTTAAAGGAGAAGGAATGGTGTTGTGATGAACGGATGAACATTATTGGGGTCGAGTCTTCTTTGATGTAGAATATTTATTCTGTTTTCTTTGATGTAGAATATTCTGTTTTCTTTTTAATTATGTGATGATCTATACCTACACAGATTGGTCCCAAATGGTCATTAATAATTACATGTAGTCTATGTAATTGTAAATCAAACAATTTGTATTCAATTTGTCATAAATCTTTCACAAGACATGCCCGGTGGGGTCACTCAATGTGACTTCCGGACCGCATGACCGCGTTGCCACAAATGCATATAACCCCCTTTTGCGGTCAATTTCAAGGACATTTTGTGAAATTTTACCCCCTTTTTTACGTCAAAACAAGGACAAAATCGTACTTTGGAATACCCCTATTTATAAGATTGTAAGGACACTTTCGCAAATGTACCCCTATTTTACCATATTTCAAGGACAAGACTCGGCTCCGAGAATTTTTCTTCCTGGTTTTCTCTTTTCCCTTTCCGGTTTTCTCTTTTCCTTTTTCCTGACCCCTATTTATCAATTTCGAGGACACCTGTGCACCCCTATTTTCTTTATTTCGAGGAATATTTTGTCCGCGGACATTGCTTGAAATTGACCCCTCTTTCCGCGATTTTGGTAACGGTCATGCGGTCCGGAAGTCACATTGAGTGACCCCACCGGGAAGACATGTTGACAATTGTATAGTCTAGTGGTGAATATTTACAGAATGTAGTATACATGATAGTTGGGGCGGGGGAGGGGGGCATACACACACTTAACAAACATAAAGACTTCTCTTTTGCCTTTGGATTTAGCGGGAAAATTCTATCATTTTGCACTAACCATAATGACTATTTGTCCTTTATAATATTTTCCAACATACACATGTACAACTACATGTACAAGTACAACTACAAGTACAAGTAAGTCTTGGAAGATTTGTGAAACATATACTTTTAACTTCTTTAAATGTTAAATCAACTGTCCGGACACACAACATCGGGGCATACTAGCTGATCAATGCATACTGTAGAATCTATTCTAGGTCTATTCTCAGTGAAATCTGACAACAAAGGTTACAGTTTTGTTTTCTTTGATTGTCTGGAGACACCCCCCCCCCCCCCCAAATCCATCATGTACATTTTTACATGATGAAATAAATGTGTTGATGGCTATAATGTCTATGACTATAATTTCTTCTGGAAATACTTGAATTTATATGTAGGCCTACAGTACTCACTCTACAGATCTAGGAGTATGGTAGATGTTCATGTAGGTCCATGTATTTTTTTTTTAAATGGACCCCTTTCTATTAAAGAAAAAAGGACAGAATTGATACAATATGACACCTTGCCTTTCTCTTCTATCTCATCAGGACCAAGCGGGATAAGAGACTACAAAGTCAACGTTGTCACAGATGACCGGATGGTGGGGATTGGGACGATGTCCCAGGAAGGTACCAGCGACCTTCAGTACATCTGGAGGGGGGCACCTGGCGCACCCCCTCCCCGGAGGAGGTCACAGTGGGTCGGGGAGGTCGGCTGGTTCATCCCTCCTTATCATGATACCAAGAATACCTTATCAGGAAATCAAATACAGGTAAGATTATTGATATCATCTCAAATGCATTTGATTTCATCTGTCATGTACGTGTATACTCCTTTACTCATTAAGTGGGCACTTTTTGTAAAGGGCACATGGTTATTTTACTGGAGCACTTGGGTAAACTAATTTTGCTCTTACAGTATGTTACATGTATGTTTTGAAATCTTGATCTTATAAAGCCTTCTGATCTAGATCTTATTACTCAAATCATGGAGGGGGGGGGGGACATATTTAAAACAAAAATAGTGCCGATCCCTGCCACCCCTCCCCCCCCCCCCTTTCCACACACACACAAAATAAACAATAACAATACAAATTAATAAGGGAATCAATTAAACACAACAGAATGATAACATCCAACAGTTTTATTTATTCATTTATTTGATTTATTGTATATTCATTATGATATCATTTTACAAATTGATTAATTAATTAATTTATTGCTATTCAAATATTGTGGTAAGTCATTATCCACTTGAAGTCAAAAAATGAATACCCAACCTATTTCTTGAAAGTGTATTTAAAACAAAGATATACATTGTAAATGAAATGAAATCGATAATCAACCAAACTTTTAAGTACCAGTAATGGCAGTTTATTGATTGTGGCAAGTGTAAAATAGTATTTTTTTAGCATACAGGCATCCATTTGCTGCATGCTGTGTCATGCAAGTACATTGAATTGATTCCAACTTTCAATTAGGAGCTCTTTTCATCGCCACAGTTCCCTTGGTGATGCTGCCCTTCAAAAGAGTTGATCAAATATTCATCTCATGAAAAATTGAAATTCCATTAACCTTTTGTTGGTCGACTGGTGAATGAGCATGCATGGCCATTTATAATCATCTTTTCATGAGCGCAGATCAACCTGCCTAAAATTGCTTGATGTACAGAAGGTTTATAAATACAGTACATAATGTATATGCCGTATATGCCGTGTTAGCAGACATGTATGGTGGAAATTCATTTAGATATTTTTTAATCAATTTGGATAATCCTCCGTCACAGTTATGTACAAATGATGATAAAAACAATTGAAAAAAAAAACCTTGAGAGTTCACTACTTCACTATGACAGGTTTCAATTTTATTTCTTCAGACTATCCTGTTTCAATTATCTGAAAAAATAAAATTGAAACCTACATGTATTTGTCTTAGCTAAGAATTTAACTCTCAAGGATTTGTATTTCAATTATTTTTATCATTATATTATATACACTATATATTATATATTCTATTGTAGTTCGTTTTTTGTTGGTGGGGGGGGGGGGCTCCTTCAAACTTAAACTAAGTACATGTACATATCTTCATCATCATCATCATTATCTTCATTTACTACAGAGAGACTAGTGATAGGCTTTCATGGCAAAGTAAACCAATAAAGTCTTTCAATCAATCTTTTAATCAATTCCTCTCTTGAAACGAACAACAAGCATTGCATCATAAATCTTTTCTTTAACCTTTTGTGATTGTGCCCGATCTCTTTTCTCTCACGAGATTTATGCCTTATTGTGTTGGACGCCTGCATGGCCACTGCATCTTTGCCCTAAGACGTTGACTTTGAAAATATTGATCTTAGATTTAGCAGAGGACAATTATTTGTGATATCATGATCAGATCATCCAGTTTAAATTAAAGGAACTTGACTTTTAAATTGAAAGAAGTGGTTGTGATCAATATCAGCATTGCACCATTTCTTTTGATTTGTCGGAAAATGACTGATGAGCAGTTTGTTGAACAGTCGGACTTCCAAAATAAAATTGTTTTTCTGAACTGAAGTTTGTCCCAAGAAATTTTCAGAAGAAAGGCTCCATTCAACCAGTGCCTTTTTATTCTTTATGCTATTCATACTATGACCTTACTCAAACAAGGAATGAATGGAAACTGTCTAAGTGATTGATTATTTGAAGCTGAGAAGTGAGATGCAATCTATATTCCACACGGAACAAAGCCTCCACATTCTCTGCTTGACAGGTTTAGGTTTGGCATATTTCTATCAAGTGTATTTACAAATGCCCCCCCCCCCCCAAAAAAAAAAAACAAAACAAAAAAAAAACACCCCAAAACATACAAAGAAACAAACAAAGAAGATGCAAATTTGTATTTTGAGACATTCCTATAATAGTCTTTATGCCTGAATAATTTCCTGTTGTTTTTCAAGCAATATATGTTTAAAATAGATTAATGTTCATATGCACTGAAATTGTGTAATGACCATATTTATATTCATTTTTACTATTGCATTTAGATAACATATTTTTGTAATTTTCATTTTTATTTTTGGTCATTTCTGTTTTACAGCTCAAAGTATTCAGAAAAGCACAAGAAGAGAAATACACTCACAGGTTCCAAGAGCCATGGTAAGTATTATTGTTTTTCTTTTAAACTATGTTTAGTTACTTTAATCATTACATTTTAATTTTCTGTACTGATATTGACAACAATGATGTACAATATTTTATGAAACAGATAATAAACATTGGCTACTTTATGGGCAATACTGGAGAAGTGCAAAACTAATTAAATACAGAGTACACAATTATATCCTGCTAAAATTACTACATGCAGCAAATTAAGGGTAAACTATATAATTCAAGTGAGGCAGAAATGGATTTGCAAAAGTACATGTACATGTATGTTATGATTTTCCTAACAGTCATGATAATAGTTGAATAATGAGTCTTTTAATGGCATTCTGATGCCAAAAACAATATAAGAAATAAAATACAATGCCTGCAGGAACTGATCATTTTGAATATGGTAAAGGAAATTGCGTTATGTACAGTATGGATTTTTTTTAGATAAATGCAAAAAAAAGTGTTCTTATACTAAATGTACAAAGAAAATCTTGCTAGCATATGAACTTTATCAGAATGTCATTGTTATCCTCTTTTGACGAATATACAAATTTTCCTCATCAATTGCTTTTAGCACACTTTACAAGGATTATGAGAGTGAGCCATTTGTTGAGAGATATTTGTTGTTTTATCATTTTATTTCATTTACTGAAAGTTGATTTCTCTATTTTTCTGGTTCTTTTTATTACTGGTGTAATGGAATGGCTATTGTACTTGTACAAATTTTCTTCCTCGTTCATGTACATGTTTTTGCATTGGAGTGAGCATTACAACCTATTTTATACTCTGAAGTAGCAGACCTAGCTCTGATATCTGTTCAGAGCCAAAAAGTGTTCTATTCAAAGTGATGCTAGTTAACACCCTTCTGGCTTTCGGCAAATGCTATGTATAATGGATGATTTGATACAATTTTTTAAATTTTAATTTGACTGGTGTTGGTTATAGAGGGATATTTATTCTGGTTCTTATTTAATCCCATTAATAAATGGAGTGAATAAGTGATGATATAGTACTCTTGCTTGTTCATGCCCATGCACTGTAATATCATAAAATACTGGAGTGATATACATATTGTATGTCTTTTGCTGTGTACTGAATTGAAGTTATTTGGGGTTAAAATGGTTTTCTATAAGATGCTTTTGCTTTTGTCAGCTATACAGTATATGGTCTTAATATTTTGTTACTTTTCATTTCACATTGTATAATTTGGCTTATATAATTATAATTCATATAATTTTCCTGTCTCTCTTTTTTCCTTTAGGTACTTTCTAGGCCTAGTACTTTCCCTCTCTTTTTTAGGGGTGGGAGGTGGGGTCAGGAATGTCATTTTCTCAAATACACCCTTTTGTTATTCTATAGTGGAAATAAAGCAAACGGCTTAAAAGAGCCTCCTAGTCTAGTTTTTAAACAATAATATTTGAGATATTATACATGTAGGTTTAGCTTCTTTTATAGTGCTTGTATCTGCCATGCATGTCTGAATTTGCTCCTGTATATTACATTTATTACTTTTCGTAGAAAAATTCTTTGCGGTGTAATGATTTTAAAAATAATGACTGATCTTTTGAAAATAATGACTGATCTTTTGAAATCTCCTTCATTTTATAGGTATCTTGCCCCAAATGACCCCGACTACAAGCAGAACTTCCCTTTCACACAAGGATCAAAGCGGAACTGGCGAGCCCCGGGCCAACAGCGAAGCGCGGAACAACTCCCTCCCCGCCCTCACACCAGTTTCCACTCTAACGACAGCAGGCTCCCCAACGTCAACAACAATGCACCACCAAGCTCGCGACCCTTCACAGTACAACCCCCCTCATCGGAAAGCATCAGTCGTCCTGCCAGCGGTCAATCAGCCCACAGCTACTCAGCCCACAGCTACACCCCGCCCGGGAGCCGACCAGGGAGCGGGGGAGGTCACGAGTCAGCATACAGCAGCCGATCGAGAGGGTCCCAGTCAACGCTAAGAAGCAGGGGGAGTTCACAAACGTCACATCCATCAAGACGAAGAATTACCCCTGCTGCCACCAGTGTCAGTTCGGTGTACAGGTGATTATCCTTCTTGTACATTTCAAATAATTTTTTTTATTTATTTATTTTTTTTGCTAAAGTGGAATTTGATCACTTTCCAATAGTGATTTCATTCCACTAAGGTAAAAAGCCAAATTAATGACACAAAAATGCAGATTTTAATTTACATTATTAGATATAAACTTAAAGCAACTAGTTCATTAATTGTATGGAAGGCCAGGCTGACAGTCAATCTGCAGCCATTTCAGATTATATAATTCACTGTATCCTGCCATTTCTAGTAGTAGTCCATGGGCCAAGACCAGAAATTTGGGTTATTGGTACCACTCAAGGTGGCAAGATCTACTTATGCATTTTGAAATGCCCTATATCTATACATAATATTTTGATATGATAGCATTTCCGAATGTACAGCTTAGTCATATAATCAGCAGTTTCCATGGCAACACTAGACTAAAACCGGTATTATTCAAAGAAACAGTTAAAGTCATTTAAAAGTTATAAAAACACTTTTGAATGCGTAAAAATGTACAGGTTAGAATACCTCACCATAAAGGAGAGCAATGAAATGCAATTTACATCACCATTTATAACGGTTGCCATGGTAACGACCCCAGAATGGCCTAAAATCAAGGATTTTTGAGTAATTTCAGTAATATATTACACAATATACTCATTCAAGACAAGTTAAAGTCCCCTTTCCAAAATATTGACACAACTATATGACTAATACATCATATAAGCCAAGAATATGCTATATAGTACATTCCCATTGTTACCATGGCAACATGAATTAGAGTTAACAAGATGCCCTGTATGGTACTATATGCCATATTTTGGCTATATTTTAGCATTGGAGAGCTGTTGAAAGTTTATTTTGGTGTCTATACCCAGGTTATCAGGCCCACAGAATAAAAGTTTAGAATACCTCACCATAAAGAAAAGTAATGAAATGCAATTTACATTACCATTTATAACGGTTGCCATAGTAACGACCCCAGAATGGCCTAAAATCAAGGATTTTTGCGTATTTTCAGTAACATATTAAACAATATGCCCTTTCAAGACAAGCTAAAGTCCCCTTTCCAAAATAATGACACAACTATATGACTAATACATCATATAAGCCAAGAATATGCTATTTAGTACCTTCCCATTGTTACCATGGCAACATGAATTAGAGTTAACAAGATGCCCTGTATGGTACTATATGCCATATTTTGGCGGTATCTTGGGATTGGAGGGCTGTTGAAAGTTAATTTTGGTGTCTATACCCAGGTTTTAAGGCCCACAGAATACGAGTTTAGAATACCTCACCGGGAAGAAAAGTAATGAAATGCAAATTATATTACCATTTATAACGGTTGCCATAGCAACGACCCCAGAATTGCCTAAAATCAAGGATATTGGCGTATTTTCAGTAACATATTAGACAATTTGCTCATTCAAGACAACTTAAAGTCCCCTTTCCAAATTATTGAAAAACTATATGACTAATCTATCACATAAGCCAAGAATATGTTATATAGAACATTCCCATTATTACCATGGCAACATGAATTAGAGTTTAGAGTGTACAAGATGCCCTGTATGGTACTATATGCCATATTTTGGCTATATCTTAGGATTGGAGAGGTGTTGAAAGTTCATTTTGGTGTCTATACCCACAGGGGCCTGGGAACAATTTTTTCACCGGGGCCGCTGAGAAATTATTTTCACAACGACTCAGCCAGCCGCTGAATAAGTGGGGGAGGGGGGGGGGGGGGGGGGGGGGGGGGGGGGGGGTATAAGAGGACATTTTTTTTTTTTTTTGTGTCCCAAAATTAGAAAATTTGGTCCATCGGTATTAGAAAGGGGTGGGGGGGGGTAAGGTCTGTCATTTTGGGTCACCAATTAGCAATTTTTTATTTTTTTTATTTTTATTATTAAAAAAGAAAAAAAATCTCTTCGGGTGATACATTTTATAGGATTTTGTGAAAGAAACGTTATAATTTTTGAATAACATTGAATATATCATACCACAAAAATTTGCAGGGGGTGCTAGGCCCCACCTGGAAAAATTCCGGGGGTGCTGCAGCACCCCCAGCACCCCCGCTTCCCAGGGCCATGTATACCCGGGTTTTCAGGCACAGGGAACACAGCTAAAGCTTTATTTTGGAAATTAACATAGGACATCATACATTTGCAAAAAATCAGAACAAAATGACCATAAAAGTATTCTGCCACTGCATATTACAAGCTGTTTCTTAGGGTTTAGAAAGATATAACATTGTCATGACTACATTAGATGCTAGAAAACTTCATTTGATTGTATGCAATGCTGGAACCAGCACAGATTCATCACAATGATGACCATTTGCTTGCTATTGTATCAAAACTATCCCGAAGAATACTACGAGCAAAATGAGAATAAATGAGTCAAAGGTAAATATGAATGCCAGAAAATTTGTGTCTGTTTATCAAAACGCCTTCTTTGGGCAGAAATATTACAGGCGGTTTGCGAAGTCTCAGAAACTGTTTTGTCACACCCTCTCTTTCCTATTTTTTGTTTACTCTCTATGAAAGAAAGGTGTGATTGAATTTAAGTAGTCCATTTGGACACAAATTAATTCACATTTTCAACGCCAGAAAAAAAAACATGTATATGCCTTTGAAACTTTACATTGATTGTTCAAAATGATGTAACTGATAAAATATATCTAGTACATCTTCGAGTTTAACCTTCAAGTGTCCTTTCCATGTGATCTGGAATTTTAAGCCTACCTTAAGTTGTCACCATGACTTTGATAAAGGCAGCTTATTTGTCAATTAGATACTGGTGACTTGTGGTAAATAGATCACACACAATCACCAGTTACCGACTCTTCTTTTGTCTGCAACAACTCTCTTTGTTTTCATCCTGAGTTGACAAGAGAGAAGAAAGCAACATCAACTACATGTATTTTCATCCTCACTTCGACAAACTTTCCTAAAGTTACTCCTGCAGTCAACACGTTAATAAGGGAACGCCGTCATCTTACTATTCAAAATTTGTTTCCTACATTTCTCTTGGAACAAAATATATTCATCTCACTTTAATTTATCATGAGTCTGTGTCTGAATCGTCTACCTTGACTTTTGCCACTTCTTTATCTTCATCATCTTCCTGCTGGTTTGTGAAGGTCTTTAATTTGCACATGTTAGTGCATTTCATGTGCATGTCGCAGCCAGTAAAGGCAGGCGTTAGAGCTTGGCAGACATCTTCACCCAAAAAGCTTGCAAGTTTGCTAACATAAATGTACCCGCACGGTAAGGGCCTGTTATGGAGCTCTCACACTCTGCCTTGTAGGCCTACCGTCCACCTGCCGGGCTATTAAAAAACAACAGAGTCCAGAACGTTGGGTTTTGAGCGAACTTGTCCCCGGCCGCAATAAAAAAAAATTCATAAAATTAATCTTTTCACCGTTTCGTTGCCATCTTCTGACCGTTCTCACCGGGCGCATACCGGGTGTTGAACGTGCTTCTACCGTCTTCACCGCCCAGATTGACTTTTGTTGAAAATTTTGGCCGTTTCCATACCGGGCCCATACCGGGTCTCGAACGTGTGCACCGGGTTTGTAGCAGCCACCTACCAGTCACTTAGCGTCCCCTCACCGCTCGGAGCGTCCTGTGAGCGAGTCCCCGGACTGCTGACGTCATGACACGACTGCCATAAATACCCCGATTTTTTTGCCCGTTCATCACCGTTCTGTAACGGGTTATGAGCGTGTTGTGAACGTGTTCATACAGTGTGACCGTTTTCATAACGTATTCATACCGTCCTCATACCGTTCAACACCGTCCTTGCGGCCGGTGCCACCCGGCCATAGTTTTGAACATGCCCAAAACTTTCGCCGGGTCCCACCCGGTGTAAATAAGCGCCAACGCCCTATTAACGTGTTGCCCGCTTTGATAACGAACCACCGTCTGCCCTCGCCGTTCTCCACCGTCCGCAGACATTTTCGCGCACGGTGGCACACGGTAGGCCTACACGGCAGAGTGTGAGAGTCACTTAAGGGGCCAAAGAGACCAGCCAAGACCCGGCAAAAGTTGTGGGCATGCCCAAAACTTGCGCCGTGTGGGCACAAGCGGAGGCACACAGTGAGAACCCGGTATGAGGACTATAAGAGGACGGTATAAGGACGGTGATGGGCTGGTACGAGGCCGTTCGTGGGGCAGTGAGAACGGTGACGTGACGATCGTTACGGGTTTTCTACGGGCTCTCACCGTTCGCTCATCGTTGACCCACCGCCTCATACCGGGCCCCTACCGATCATTAAGGGTCAACCGCTCTCTTAACGACCTAATAACGTCATCTTACCATTCCAGCGTCCTCGTAACGTCTCTATACCGGCCTAGCTGTTGCCATGTTTTACATTGTGCCCGTTCAGAAACCGTGCCAGACACAGTGACTCCATATTTTACTGTATAAAAAATGCTACCTCTGTTGTTTCCTGCAGATCGAGCTTCCTATAGCTTGACCCCTCCCCCCTGCTTTCCCTCCATGTAGAGGCGCCGCTCCAGTGGGGGGGGGGGGGGGCTGGTGTGCACAGCCCCCTCCCCAGTTTCGAAGTACCCCAGAAGTGCCCCTTTGTACATAGGAAAATTGCCCCTTTTACTTTGACAAGTGCACCTATTACTTTATTAAAGTGCCCCTTTGTAGGTGCCCTTTTTGTTGCCCCCCCCCCTCCTCTAATTTGTTAGTCGCTCTGCCGCCCCTGCTTCCATGTCGGCATTATGAAAAATTATGAAGATTTATGATTAATTGTTGAGAAGAACAATGAGGACGTACATCCGTGAACTCGAGAACTGAAGTGTGACCGGTAACTAGGGTGAGTGTCCAGCTTTCATATACCGTGTGTGACGTCTTCAAGGCCAAGCGAATGTTCAGCGAATGGCTCTTTTATGGTTGCGTTCGGGTGGTAAGCAGCAGGTACCCACCCAGTGGGGCTCTGGTGAGACCCGGCGAGGGAAAGGCCAACACGGTGACACTAGCTGGCATGATCGAGCACGCTGTAAGTGGTAAGGGACCAGTATGCCGACGGAATGGAAACGATGAGGGCACAGTGGGAAAATGTAACACCATGGGACAGCACGATAATACAGACACAGATTACCAGCACATCTGTGTCTTCGGCTGTGGTTACTATGAAGCCGTATCCATCCTCCGCAGCATGCCATGCATGAAGAAGCATTCGTGTGTCAGCTTCCTCTTGTGTTGTCTTCAGAGTTATGATTTCTTCATAGTGCTTCTCCACTTGCCACATAAAGTGACTTATTATGAAGCTTCTCCCTCTCTGCAGGCTGCTTCCACTGATCGACCAAAAATTAATCTAGGCTTATTTTTGTTTTCAGGGTTTCTTCGGAATTTTTTCCACTGCAAAATGTTGTGACAAGGTGCAATGTTCTTCCACTGTGTTTCAGCGGTGGAACCTCTGTTGTATTTCTCAGCATTCTTGATGGACTCATCCATGTAGACATCAAACACGACATCAGTCCTGGCACTATCAGTGCCTTCGTGCAAAGCTAGCGTCAGTGCAGCATCTGCTATGTGCAAATGACTTGTCACCTCCTTTGAGTCTATGGACAAGGCTCATTCTATCAATGATACAAGCTGAACGCTTCGGAGTGAGATCTGCTGGTGACACAATTTTCTCCAGCCCTGTTTGTCTTGCGCAGTGACCACGGTATTGGTCCGAGTGGGCGTGCTAAACCTCTCTAATAGATAGCGCTCTGCTGTGAGCAATGATGATCATGCATGCGCCCAAAGAGGTTTGGGTCTGCCTTCACGATTACCTGATTCCCTTTAGCTTTGTAACCAGCCTGCTTTTTATTGATGTTGAGGAAGGTCATCAGGCTCTCTTTTTTCATCTTGTCATGAAAGTTTACCATGGGTTGCTCTTTTTCCAAACGATCTTCTCGGTATGCTTCTTTTCCAACTTTGTGATTTTTCAGCAGGTCTTTGGCAATATCTTGTGGGGCCAGGATACAGTAGACAAGTTGACCAACTCTGTTTCATCATGGCTCAGCTGTTCTTGATTAGTTCCACAAATGAACGAACATCGGTCTCATCTTTTCTTATCCGGCTTAGTTGCAGGTCCGGATGATTGAAGTGCTGTAAACTGTTTTTGCTGACCATGTCTCTCAACTCCCTCAAAATAATATGAGCTTCTGACCTTCTGTACTCAGATTTCAGGTAGTACCTACTGTCAGCTCCTGGTTTTAGGCTGAACCTTTTGTCCCCCCACCCCAGTGGTCTGTGTGTCCTTGTTGATGGTTTCTTCACTTTTCTGGTCGACTGGGATTCTGCCAAAGAGGTCCTACCAAGTTGTACAGAAAATCTCTGGCCCTGCATGAATTGTTCATGCACATCTGGGTGATCAATTGGCCAGCCGGGACATTTGTACATAATAACTATTGTAGAGAAGAAAGCGTGCTTAGTTCAGTTTGTCGTCGGCTAAGCACCAGGGAATCATTGCACGAATGAAAGCGAGGTGCAGCACCCATGCAGACACCCTCTCTAGATGCCCGAACCAGACCTAGCATAACCTTGACGATGTCCACATACATCCAGAAGGCCGAGAGGGTCCCATTCTCCTGTATCAGGTAATCAAGGTAGACATCAAACAGCTTGAAGATGGGCTCAAAGGACTGGTTCTCAATCATCTCACAGCCAGCAGCTTGAGAAACATCTTCACATAGGCTGTTAAGGACTCTAAGGCTTTCTTCCAGGTGAACCTGGTCATCAGTGTGGTTAGTTTCTAGACAGGGTAGGAAGCCTTTCCACGCCTGTCGCATAAATTATGCCTCGTACAACAACTTTACTGCACGGTTGTACTTGCAGCATTCAATCACTCCAGCTACAGAGCCAATATCAGTGACACCTGACTCTACACATAGGTCCCTCAGTCCAGCATCTTGAAACATCTTCTCAATGGGTGACCACAGTGTACATATGCCAAGAGATATACATCCCAGGGTCTTCACAGTTTTTATACAATAACAAACAAATGGTCATTAATGTGATGAATCTGTGCTGGTTCCAACATTGCACAATCAAATGAAGTTTTCTAGCATCTAATGTAGTCACGACAATGTTATATCTTTCTAAACCCTAAGAAACAGCTTGTAATATGCAGTGGCAGAATACTTTTATGGTCATTTTGCTCTGATTTTATGCAAATGTATGAAAAATAGCAGTGATGTCCTATGTTAATGTCCAAAATAATGCTTTAGCTGTGTTCCCTGTGCCTGAAAACCTGGGTATAGACACCAAAATGAACTTTCAACACCTCTCCAATCCTAAGAGATAGCCAAAATATGGCATATAGTACCGTACAGGGCATCTTGTACACTCTAAACTCTAATTCATGTTGCCATGGTAATAATGGGAATGTAATATATAACATATTCTTGGCTTATGTGATAGATTAGTCATATAGTTTTTCAATAATTTGGAAAGGGGACTTTAAGTTGTCTTGAATGAGCAAATTGTCTAATATGTTACTGAAAATACGCCAATATCCTTGATTTTAGGCAATTCTGGGGTCATTGCTATGGCAACCGTTATAAATGGTAATATAATTTGCATTTCATTACTTTTCTTCATGGTGAGGTATTCTAAACTCGTATTCTGTGGGCCTTAAAACCTGGGTATAGACACCAAAATGAACTTTCAACAGCCCTCCAATCCCAAGATATCGCCAAAATATGGCATATAGTACCATACAGGGCATCTTGTTAACTCTAATTCATGTTGCCATGGTAACAATGGGAAGGTACTAAATAGCATATTCTTGGCTTATATGATGTATTAGTCATATAGTTGTGTCATTATTTTGGAAAGGGGACTTTAACTTGTCTTGAATGAGTATATTGTGTAATATATTACTGAAATTACTCCAAAATCCTTGATTTTAGGCCATTCTGGGGTCGTTACCATGGCAACCGTTATAAATGGTGATGTAATTTGCATTTCATTGCTTTCCTTTATGGTGAGGTATTCTGAACTGTACATTTTTACGCATTCAAAAGTGTTTTTATAATTTTTAAATGACTTTAACTGTTTCTTTGAATAATACCGGTTTTAGTCTAGTGTTGCCATGGAAACTGCTGATTATATGACTAAGCTGTACATTCGGAAATGCTATCATAACTTTTTACACGTATATATGCCCAACAAACAAAAAAAAAGTACAAAGGTTTTGCCACCTCTGATGGTACCAATATCTGGTCTGGCCCATGGACTATAGCTACCAAATACAAATACGATAAGCTTTTGAATATTTGGGTCATTGTGTAAAAACTATTTCTACCGTGTATTTGAAATCCAAACTTTTTGTTTGCAATAAATGATTAAACATAAGGACAAAAAAAATCCTTATGTTATTTATGACCTGCCAGCTCAAAGCAAGGGGATCAAATTATTCTTAAATATTCTGGGGGGGGGGGGGGGAGGGGGTTCTCATACAATCACCCATGCCTAACAGTGAAGTTTACTTTATTTGTATATAAGTTTCAACTTAATGTAAATGTAGGTTTACTTGATTTGCACATTAGTTTACTTGATTTACAAGTAAGTGTACTTATATTCATTACAAGTTTAGTTGACTAAACCAGATGACTGATTAAATAATTCCTTCAATGTCTTTTATCTTTCTCTTACAGAGCACCAACATCTGATCCCGACTACTAGAAGGCACCCTATCTCATACCTTATCCTCTCTACTTGTGGCAATATCAACATATAAGCGACTAATACTTTTACATAGTGGTAGATAAAAGACTCTTATCAGAAGCCTGCAGTCTTCCCAGTAGTTTCAGTTTGATGTCTAGAGCTGATTTTTTTTTTTTGCCCTTCCATTGTACGCAACCTATCCATTAATTCCTATGCAATTTCTTTGTCTTTCACTGTAGATCTATGCAGAATAATATTTTCTAGATATAGCGATATTTACTACATTTTTATTGACATACACTGTAATAGACTGGTTTATTATAACATATTCTAATTTATGGATATTTCCTCCCTGGGGACCTAATGACGAGCTATTCCATAAACATTTTATTAATGAATGAACTACCATACTATGAATACTTGCATACACTACGTGTTGCTATGTCAGGCATTGTCAGGCTATGTTATGTAATCAAGAACAGCCTTTTTTTTTAAAGTGTGCATAAAACTTGAATATTACTTTACATGCATCTTTAAAAAGCAATTTATATGAGGAGAAATATAGTTGGCTAATCATGTTACAAATTTTTATTTTCTTATAATGAATGGCTTTCTTGAGAAGAAGAGTCAAAGGAAACAATGAACTTTTGAAGATACAGTATACAGCAGTCAAACTTGTCTCATAGTGACCACATATCTATAAAGGTCACCTGTTTATAGTGGCCATCATCAAAAAACAAATGTGTAATGTAGAACCTGTTTAGAAAGGCCACTTTCAATATCTCCCTTGAATGGCCTTTATAAACAGGTTTGACTGTACTTGTACTTCAAAATATTGATATACTGATAGTCTGCAATCTTTGTATATTTGAAGGTGTAAATTATGAGAACAAAAATTCTATAGATTTTCAACCTGACTTTCGCAGTTTTTGTTTGAATCGTGCAATTTTATTATTTGATGTGTGCATGGACCAACAGTATTCCTGAAGCTAAAAAAAATCATTTAATTTTTGAAATGGCTGAATTTTTGTGGGCAATTAGGCGTTTGTGCGTGAGATTTTTGTGCAGTGCAATTGCAGAATGATTTTAAGCAATTATATATTTCGATCATTGGAAAGAGTTTGTGAGATGATTTCATACATTGTAGATTTCGCATGATGAATGTGCAGTGTCATTTTCCGTCCAGATACTGTGCATCATTATTTATGTGATCGAACAACTATTGAAGGTAATTGTTTGAATGATGATTTAGAAGAAAAGGTCTGTTTTAGGTCATTAATAGGTAAATTATTATGAATTGTTATGATTTTTTTTCTTTTTTGGCATTTAAAACACCAAAATTAATTTACTTGGATTTTCTCTCCTTTATATGCTGTAGATGTACATCTATGTGCAAGTTAGCATACATTTCATGTATATGATAATTTATATAGTTTTCAATTACTATATTATTGTCTATAGTAGATTATAATATTTAACCTTATAGTTAAACATTATGTACAATTTTAAGAACAAATATGCAAATATTAACATTTCAATTTTTCTCTCTTTCTTTCTTGGGATAAATATGTATTTGCAACTCTGTGCATTTGATTTACATGTGTGTAATTGTATAAATAATGTATGAAAATATGATGGCCATCACAAAAGGTTGTGATCAATTTATCCTCTTTTCCAACTCAAACTTTTGAGGATGATGTTTTAGATTAATTCTTTGTTTTTTTATTTCCCCTTTAGGTAAGCCTTGTTCACATATGTCTTGGGAACCTACCTATAAAAAAAAAGACAACTGCATTTTAAAAAAAACTAAAGGAAAGAAAAAAGGCTTTTGCCTCGAGCAATAAAGACTTTTATTTTTGTAGCTTGTGTTGCAAATATCATAATTTGTTCAATCTTGTTACTCTTGAAATGGTTTGCTGCTGCATTTCTTGTTTGTTCCTCATTTAGTTGGGCTTTTTATTTGGATTGTTGTTTATATTTAAGTGGTTTACCTTTTCATATGTAAACAAAGCTTTAAAATTTTAATTTATTTTAGAGGATAGAATCAGCTAAACCTAATAATGGGTGGGATGGATCAATTTTTAGGATTTTTTTAATAAGGCAAAGTTTATAAGCAGTCTGAAAATTGATTTTCCTTTTACGTTAATCATACAAATTTTAAACATTTAAAAAACATTGTTTTAAGTACTGTGGCTCTACAATTGTGATATAGTATACCGGTTAGCATAATACAAGATATCAAAAGAGCTAAAAATCATCCTTGAAACTAAAGATGAAACCAGGATATATTTTTATTCATTTATTTATTTTTTACTTGTATTGCAGTATAAGATTTTGAATGCTTTATATCAAAAAACTTGTCAGTACGGTATGTTATTTTTTCAATGCTGATATAGTAGATATTTGAGATACATGTACATGTCTATTTTAAAAAAAGTTATAAATCAGAAGAATTTGTTTGTTCATGGAAGAACTGAATAGAATATTGCATATTACAAATTATTTCAATTTTTACGTCAAGGAGTCTATTGTACTGGGAATTCTTTCGGTAAACATTAATTTCTGAATCCGTTTACAATTTTTGTAAATGCAATTGTGTACTATTTTGATTCTTTGCAATACCTGCTATTGTGCTGCTGTCTCTTAATTATCTATGTATCGATCAATCAAATATATATGAATGAATGTGAATGAAATAATATCTAACAATGATAATCATAGAAATTGATTTTTGTGTAGTTTGTAATGATCTTTTGTAAATCTTTTAAAGATGCATCTCTTCATTGATGCATCTCTTCATTTAGTAAAGAACTATGGAGAAATATGAGGGAGAGAGAGAAAGAGAGATCTCTTTAAAGATGCAGCTCTTCAATTAGTACAGAACTATGGAGAGGGGGAGAGACAGACATAGAGAGGGGTAGGAAGAGAGAGAGAGAGGGAGAGAGAGAAAGAGAGATCTTTTTAAAGATGCAGCTCTTCGATTAGTAAAGAACTATGGAGATGGGGAGAGATAGACATAGAGAGGGGTAGGAAGAGAGAGAGAGAGGGAGAGAGAGAAAGAGAGATCTTTTTAAAGATGCAGCTCTTCAATTAGTAAAGAACTATGGAGAGGGGGATAGACAGACAGAGAGGGGTAGGAAGAGAGAGAGAGAGGGAGAGAGAGAAAGAGATCTTTTTAAAGATGCAGCTCTTCAATTAGTACAGAACTATGGAGAGGGGGAGAGACAGACATAGAGAGGGGTAGGAAGAGAGAGAGAGAGGGAGAGAGAGAAAGAGAGATCTTTTTAAAGATGCAGCTCTTCAATTAGTAAAGAACTATGGAGAGGGGGAGAGATAGACATAGAGAAGGGGGAAAGAGAGAGAGTGAGAGATAGCAAGGAGGAGAAAGGGAGAGAGAGCGAGAGATAGAAAGGTGGGATGGGGAGGGGCATGAGGTTAGAATAGAGGGAAGGAGGACAAGTGATGAGAGGTGAACCATCTTTTGCAAAAATTCTGCATGATCTGAAACATGTACTTGACTGGACTCACAAGCATTGACTACCAAATGTACATATGGCATAACAATTACAAACAAATACTGGCATAACATCTCGTATGATTCAAAGAAAAAAGAAACAAACAAGTCTATATATTTCTCAATTAGCATATTATGAAAAACATGCTTTTCACTTTATTATTCAACGATGTAGATTTTAATGAGGATTTCATTACTCAAGGCGAAAGATGGAAGATCAAAAAATTATACCACCTTACTAATTAAAGGGAGAGTCATTAATACAATTCATTTCTGAAAGATTACAAAACATAAGAAACAAACAAAAATTGTCTCTCACAATCACAATCACAAAAATATGTGGATTGGGTTGGAGATTTGGACATTCAGTGCCTTCATTCAAATAATTAGTTTTCTTCTCAATTCTTCATTTTTTCAATTCTGAAAACTATTGAGGTAATTTTTTGGGTTGAATGTCATTGTAATTGTTTAGAAAACAATAAATTTCCTTGCTGAAATTAGAAAATGTTATTTGCTACGATCATTCACTTAAGGATTGGAGTACCATCCACAGTAAAGAAATACCATAACTATGTGTCATTGCATCCCTGAATTGTAATGTTTGCACTGATAATTGCAAGTATGAGACTAAATTCAATTCTAAGAGTATTAACGACTATTATATTTTTACAGAACAAACAATGTATTTCGTATTGTAAAAAAAAGAAAAGTACCTGAACACGAATAAAGAAATATGTCGATAATGAAGCACTTTGCAGTATTTAAGTATGAAGAGACAAAAACAAATATTATTTACAAAATAAAAGAGATTAAACTGTTCTACCTATAAGGGACAGGGATCATTAGAGTTTAAAACTGAATAAATAAATGAGGTCGAAATAAGAGAAATTTGTTACGCTTTAAGGCTCAAAATAAGGTTCTTATCAGCTATAAAGATTGCAACTTGAATAATGACACTATTTTTTTTATACAGCTCAGACACTCAAGAATGCACTATAACTACACAGCCCCTACCCATCAAACAAAAATACAAGCATATTTAAATATATCAAATTACCATCACCCATAGTTTATAAACAAAACAACAACAGCAAGTCAAATAATAAATATGTGTGTTTAAGATGTAGTGTTAATTCGACAAAATTAAGGTGATGTACACGACTAATTACACAATTGATGATACATAAGTTGCTGTAAATTGATATGCATGAACAAATATACTAAAAAGTACTATTGTAGTTTGATCCATTACATACTATATGCATATTACTAGAAAGTATGGCAGGGCAGTATTTTGCGATTAAATACAAGCTATAATACTAGGCAAATGACTAAAATAAAAAAAAATACATATGTGTATCTTAACATGGGAAAGAATATACATACAAATTATCTAAATGATTCTATTTTTGTTTGATTTCAATTATACAACATTTTTTTTTTTTTTCAGGATAAATGGAACAACCAGTTATACAATATTTGTCACCTTCCAACTAAGGCAATAAAGACCCCTCCATTTTCCTTCATTACCAACACCACAGATCGACCCGACGGAGAGGTGATGATAGTATTTATAACATTTGACCATATTTATGAAATAGTTGTGTAATTAGAGAGATTTTTCATACTCGGGCCATACAGCCCGATACAAATTTAGAAGCACAAAAAAAGTAGAATTGTTACTTTTAAACTTATCTTAACACAGTAAAAACATGTTCCTGAATTCTGAATGACCAAGCTTTCAAAATATATTATAAATATGAATTGTGAAAATATATTGTAACTATAAATTGTAAAAAGAGTTGTCTGTTACAAATAGAAAGTGTAGGCAGTCAGTATGAATCAGTTTAGGCACATACATGTAAAAAGTACATCGGTTATGAAATTAATGCCAGAAGTTGATGTCTCTTTGAATACCAAATACAAATGAAGCACACTATATTGATCAAACACCTAGCTTTATAGCCCATTTTGCAAAACTTTTATGTCATTATGACAAAGATGAAAACCCTCACATAATCTCATGATTTAGACTCAATCTGTGATGGAAAAATCACTTGCTGCAGTTTTGTTCATATTTTGAATTCTCTCTAAAAGTCGTATAGCTTAAGTCCAGGTTTTATAAAGTACATATGTAATAGCTGAAAGCACAAAAATACTTGTGAATATCAGAAAGAAAAAAAAAATTGAATCCTAAGCTTACTCTAGCCTTAGATTTTAATGATGAAGTTAAGGCAAGAGAGATTTGATTTCACAAACCTAAAACATTTCTTTACATAAGTTCAGTTTAAATCAAATTTCCTTTTCCCCAGAATATTTGAACTGGCCATTACTTAAACATGATTCCATAATGCTGCTGTATGATAAAAATACAAGATTACAAAAATTGAACCAAATTTATTCCTCAATAATTTCATCCTTGAATATCTCCCGACTCATCTACAGTCCTCATGGCGTATTTAAAAAAAACTAAAACTAGATACTAAAAATTCCCTACTGAACTAACATGCTCAGTCTTTGCACAAAAATGACAGAGAGACTTGCCTATAAGCTACCGCATCAAACACCAAGCATTTTTTTTAAATTGAGAAAAACAGTTTTCATACATATTTGTTGCTCTTTTTTCTGACCATTCTACCACATATATACACACAGATTCATGCTAGACTAATCTAATAGTATTATAGATACAAGAATTTTTCTAATGAAACATATTGATATGCTATAAATATATGCAAAACATGCATTTTTAATTATTTCCAGTAATCTCTCCATTAATCCACAATCAAGTTGATATTTTTATAAACATTATAGCTTGAGATAAATTGAAAGTACATCATTTTAAAGGCCCTCTTTTCACCCAAAATAGGTAAAACGCATGATTTTTTTGTCTTCCTATAAATGGGGTTTCTCACATATACAATACCCCCAAGAGTCCGGAAAATTGCAAATTCAAGCATCATGATTGCTCCAACGACCTGTTCTCATATGCCATGATTTTTTTTAGATATTAATAATTGCATTTTAGATATAAGCACAACTCACTGCATGGAAAATAATGTTTCATTTCATCTTCACCACCAACAGTTTTTTTCTTCAAATGCTGGTATGTAAAAGGTGTTAAATAACCATTTTTTTTCGGGGGGGGGGGGGGGGGGGGGGGGGGGTGAAATTATTTTACATTAATCTGCTATATGCAATATGCAATATATTTCCATAACTTCATAATTGTATAGCATGTTAATTCATAACTTTGATTTTGAAAATTAATTTCATGTAAAATGAGACTGATCTGACCATGAATGTCTATTATCCTCCAATTATCTCTGTCATTATATGTCATATGCCACATTCATCACTTCATAAACCCGATAAAATTTCTATTATATCCCAACACACATCCAACATTTCTTTAACATCCCAAATACTCACAGTATATCTAAGATATAACCAGGACATTCCTACTACAAAAATATACACCAAACAGATAAAACTTTTTTTTAAACAAAAACTTACACAAGCATTTCAAAAAATGTAGAAAATATAGTGAAGATGAATTAAAAGATGTATTTGTACACATCTCTCTTTTTCCTAAGTTTTCCATGGTGTTGATATGTAGAAATAGAAAATGGTAATAGTATAAAATACTAAAATGTATTTAATATATATTCTGTATATTACTGATAATAGTCTATTCTCCTCCAATCAGAGCAAGTAGAATCTTTTTGTAGTCACCGGATGTATCACCCTAAAGGTAGCAACAAAAAGAGAAGAAAAAAGTAGAATACCATTAGCATTATTCAATATCATGATATTTATATCATATATATATATATATATATATATATATATATATATATATATATATATATAGTTAACAACAAAATTATTCATATCCTTATCAAGGTTTGTAATTTTGTATGTATGTAAACAGATTCATTTTTCCAGAATTATGTTTCTTGAAAGTGCCACATACTAAAGCTTGTACCTAAAAGTATTCAACAAACGCCCTCATTTAACCAGTCCACCTTTCATTGTTGAGTTACGAATAAAAAATCACAACAACAAAAAATCACACAAAAAAAAAAAATCATATTGGGGGGGGGGGGGGGAGGGGGTGGGGGAAGGGAAGGATAGGTTGGGAAGGGCTATACATAGGATGAAGGGGACAATGGGGTTAGCCTTACCTTTATAAATCTACCCAAGCTCTGGTTATATGCTCTCTGGAACTCTTGCTTGATCTCCACCATGTCTATCTCAACTCTAGAGATTATCACTCTCATTAGTGTGTCATCATCAGTACCAAGACCCTGTGAAACAAAGAAAAAAAAAATTAAAAATTGAAAATTAAGACACTGTAGGATAGAAAGGATACAGACACATTTCAATGACTGCAGAATACCCAACTGCACCACAAGTAGCCCTAACCCTAAACCTAACCTTAATCCTAACTCTACACCTGACCTAAACCTGACCCTAATCCTAAACCTCATCCAGACCCTAATCCTAACCCTAAACCTAATCTTAATCCTAACTTTACACCTGACCTACACCTGACCCTAATCCTAAACCTCATCCAGACCCTAATCCTAACCCTAAACCTAACCTTAATCCTAACTTTACACCTGACCTACACCTGACCCTAATCCTAAACCTCATCCAGACCCTAATCCTAACCCTAAACCTAACCTTAATCCTAACTCTACACCTGACCTACACCTGACTCTAATCCTAAACCTCATCCAGACCTTAATCCTAACCCTAAACCTGACCGTAACCCTAACTCTGAACCTCATCCAGACCCTAATCCTAACCCTAAACCTGACCGTAACCCTAATCCTGAACCTCATCCTAACCCTGACACTGAACCTGTCCCTAACACTAACCATAATCCTAACCTTAATCCTTACTCTAAACCTAAAGCTAACCCTGAACCTCATCCTAACCTTAACCCTAATCCTAACCCTAACCATCAACCTCACCCTAATCCTAAGACATTGTACTGACACATACTAGGATGTTCTGCAGTTAAGCCAACATATTGATAGGTCCTACCTCAACCGTATCAGAACGGGAGTTGGCCGTACACAATATTTCCTACATAAAATTGGAGCTGAATCATCACCAAACTGCGCCTGTGGAGAGATCCAAACTATGGATCATGTCATTGATGATTGCCCTATCTACAAATCCCCTCACTGTGCTTCTGGACTTCGTGAGCTCAATGATGAGACAATCAGTTGGCTTAATAAGGATCTTCCTATCTAGATGATGTACCCCCTGATATTCTTTGTACAAACGAATGATAGGTCCTAGAAACACATGACTGGAGACGAAAAGCATCAAAATCTAGCATGGTAAAATATCCCTTGGCAATGCATTAATCTACATTTGCCACTCCATACCCATGAGAAAGAATGGAGAACTGCAAAATACTGAGATTAATCACGAACAAATTGCCATATGCACCAATGGTCCAACGGTAAAATGAATGTGTATGAGCTAAAAGCCCTTCCGATTTTTCAAGGAAGGAATGATGACGTGAGAATGATTTTACATACCTTCATTGATTTGTATAGTTTCTCTGCGAAGTATGCTGGTGTGTTGCGAACACATTGGACTGTCATGGAACAAAACAGAGACAAATACAATGCATGAAGAATAAATCAGACAAATATGAATTCAGTTGTAAATTGTCTCCCCAAAAAACCACAACAAAACTTAACTCCCCCCCCCCCAAATCATTTTTTCCTGTCAAAACTTCAACGTGATTTAAGAATAAACATACTCTCTGAAATATTAAGAATGACATGACATTAACATTTTCAAGAAATAAATTGTAAAAACAAAATTTCAAACAAAATCAGAGGTGCTCAGACGTGTTACTTTCATAAACTTTGTAATGATGGCTCTATTTGGTACGAAGAAATGTTGCAAAATTAAAAACTTCCAGATTGCAATTCAATAAGTTTGCGGGTTTAAACTTCTGCGAATTTCAAGCATCCACAATATTAAATTCTTTCTTGATTTGCAGTTGGATGACATAATGACAAGAGGAGTGTCTCACCAAGACTAAGATCGACTTTAAGTTGGACTTAACCATGGCAGGCTGTTCATGCCACTGTTTGCTCTCACTATTTACTGGTACAAATGGTGATCACAAATCTTCAGAATTTTTCTGTTTTGATAGTTCATTGTTGAAGGAAAAAAATTATCTAAAGATCATAATTGAGTGACCAATGGTGAGAGCAACCAGTGGCAAGAATGGCCTGCCATAGTTAAGTCCAACATAAAGTTGATCTTAGTCTTTGTGAAACACCCCCAAGTATAGTTAATTTGCTTACCGATAGTAAGCATGCCCTTCTCCAGGTCTCCTGACATCTCTCTCTTGATCGACTGTTCCATCGTGTACTTGACCAGCTTGCTGTATTCATTAAAGATCGCCCTCAGCTGCGGGTAGCTGCGACTGGCCAAGACGGCGTTAAAGGCCGACTCATCCGTGCCCCACCTTGCTTCGCCGGCAGTGACCAGCGCCTGCATTGACAGGATAGAGAACAAGACGGTCGTTACATTTCAGTTCCTCTCTCTCTCTCTTTTCATGCCATGTCCTGAGACGTTGGCAACCATGGAATCCCACAACTCTCTGTCTCATATTCTATGAAGTAATTCATTCCACTGAGATCAATTCCTCTTTCAGAAATCCCACTCCTTAAGGTTGAGGATGTAGCAAAGCCCAACGCAAAATAAAGTCAGACTTAGCTTAGAGGAAAGTGCACAATTTCGAAGGGAAGGGACTATGAGTACCATAATAGATCCTCAAATAGTTTTCATGCTTGTCAACTGAGTTTAGGAATTAAGCTACTCATCCACAGAATCCTCCTTCTACCCCTACTCCTCCTCCCCTCGATTCTTCTAGTCAGTGCAAGATTTTCCAAACCATTCTTTCGTACAACATGACCCAAGAAGCTGAGCTGCCGACCTCTTATATTATTCAGATTCTCAGCCCTCAAATATGCTTGAGTACACACTCGTTTCCTTCTTTGCCACAGGTAGTCACTTGTAATCTGACTAAATGTATGTATTGTGTACCAAAGTATGTATTTTGTCCTAATGTATTGTTGTTCGTGTCTGATGATAATCTGACCTTGTGGATTTATATCAATAATCTTGAAACTTGTAATCTGCCTGTCATAATCCGTATATAAAATAGAAGATAAAAGGAATGCAAACCCTTAAGGTCAGAATGTGAAATTCATTACACACTTATAAAACAATTTACAAAGCAGTGCATTATGAAAGTTAGATACCATTGGTCATACTAAAACAATTCTCAGAGCAGGAGATATGATGATGATGATTATCCACAGCATGGCGCCATTTATCTGTTTCAAACATTCAAAGGCGCCCGCTCCTCCAATAGAAGGAGCGGATATATGGGGAGGGGGAGGGGGGAGGGTAACACTAACCAGTTCTATTTGACACTTTAATTCAGATAAACGAAATAAAAGTGGGTCTTTGAGTGAAGCATAATTCAACCTTACAGTATAGGGTAGATGAGCATGATAGTCTACCACCTGGATAGTCCAGCATCCTGTCTTAAAAATTACACACTGCTCCTCACAACGGAAAGGCGAATTCAACACTGACCTTGGCATCTGCTTTGGCCTTCTCTACGTCCACCCTCTGGTCCTGAGACCTGGAACCCTGCAGCATGGAGACCAAGAGACGCTTGAAGTGACCAGACGTCTCGGAGATTACGTCCTTTTCAAGATCTCGAGAGAATTCTGAGGTTTTAAGGGGGAATTTCAGGAAAACATGAATACAATTGATCTTATCAAACAAATATAAAAAGATTTAATACACCCCTTCTGAACCATCCAGTATAAATTATCCGACATCCCTTTTCATCCCTTTTGCTTCCTTGTTATATTTTTGCTGTAAAATATCTTCAATGAAAACACATTGGAAGTCTAACACATCCCAAGTACAATAAGCCCAAAAGACACCTAGCTAATGCATGTCGAATACTAAATTCAATTTTCAAATCAATACAATTCTATTCACTCTAAGATCAGTTCATATTTTTCATCAAGTGATATCAACATACATCAAATAACAATTCTTTTGAATGCCATTAATCAATTTCGTTTTAAATACATTCAGATCCATTCAACTAAACTGAACTCAAGTATATCCAAATCAATTTCAATTCATTCAATGCAATCCGATTCAATTTTGAGTTAAAGGTAATACAAAGTTTTGGTATGGGGTCATGAGTTTGGTTCAAATTAACATATTGGAAGCATATTATGCGTACCTACAATATACATTGATCGTTGTCGCAGTTGAAATCGAGTCTAGAGTTATGAAATTATAAATAATAAACTCTTTATGTTGTATAGCTCCCTCTCAAGGTCAAGATATTAATTTAGCTATGAAACAATGTTTCTTGACTAAAATCGACCGATTAGCTATTCCCGTTTGGAAATTATATATCCCAACTACATATTCTGAGATCTTCATGGTCGCAGCTACCATTGTACGGCCATAGGCGCTATTTGAAATTTATCAAAATTTACCGGGAGCACTGGTAAATTTTTACATTAAATTTTTCTCGAAAACAGAAGTGTTTTAGGGGTTAATTTTTTTAGTGCTTATAATACATCCACAATAATAGTAATTCAATAGACAGAATCCGAACTGCATACATTAGTTGTTGCCAGGTTGGACAAACATTATGGATTGCCCTACCTAGCAACACTTAATATATGCAGTTTGCAATTCAATTCCTTGCAAGATTGTAAGTTGGTCTCCTACCTTTCTTGTAAGCCACCTTGATGGCCTGGACCTCATCGTTGGTTCGTGTACACAAGACCTCAACTAAAGTAGCTTCATCCGTCCCTAGACCCTACGCAAGAAAACAAGAACAAAGATACCACTACCGTTAGTCACCCATCATCCACTACTAGGCATACTTTTGCACCTATTGCCTTAAAAAGTCATATTTTCAATGGCTCAATTTATTCTTTTTCTCAATTATGAAAGAGCACTACAATGACAATAATATATACAGTGTAGACAAAAATTAGGTGTGATTAAGGATAAATTGAAACTACTAAAAAGCTTTGAAAAAATCTTGAGAGGCTTAGTCCCCAAAGTAAAGACAATACAAAAAGTCAGATACATTAAAGAATAAGAACAAAACAAAAAGAACTATAACTAACAGGATCTACACTCTGTAAAGTTGTGGACTGAAGGAAGTTATACAGTTTTCATCTTTTCTCACTTTTAGAGACCAGACACACTCTAAAAATCTGATTTGATACAAATATTTGCCAAGGGCACTAATGCATCGACTGGGTTACGAGACCACTGCTCTACCACTGAGCCATCGCCCCTCCTTTTCAAACAAGTACATGAAATATTTACTTCATACTATGGTGAGTTACTTTGTACCTAACCCGTTGAATTTTGAATTCTCTAAATCCCATAAACCTAATAAAGGATCCTACAAGTTCATGTAGGCAACGCGTTAATATCTTTGTAAATCGCTGTGATACAAATAGTGTAAATATACTACCTACATGTTGTATTGGTTTTGCATTTGAGGTTTTGTACACTGATACAGTACATTCAATTTATCTGCTTTAACTATTACTTTTGTACCAAAAAAGAAGATCTTACAAAAGCCTACCTTCATGGCTTTCCTGAGCATGTGTGCATCAAACTCGGCGGGTAAATATAAGAGATTGAGGACAATAGTCTCAAGTTTGCCCTTGAGTTCTCCCTTTAAGTTCTTCTCCAGGTCCTTGCCGTACATCGTCTTGAAGTCCAGCGCAATCTGCCGCCTCTGTACTGCGCTACATGTCGTCATAATAGAGATGACCGCTGTCTCGTCACAACCTGCGAGTAGCCAAAAGATTGAAATTTGAATAACTTCAGTCCGTTATGTAGCCTAACCTATATCTATTCTTTGAACAACAGCCACAGTGTAACTTCAAGATAATGAAAGGTTTTAGATATTCCCCCCCCCCCCCCCCCCCCCCCGCCCTCAACAAAACAAAAAACAAAAAACAAAAAAAATTGGGTGATTTTTCAATAAATGCAGACATCCCAGAGCATACAATTCGAGATTATTGGTGTTGTTGAATTATTTTGCTGTATTTCTCAGTATTTGATATCATGTGCATGATCTGCAAATCAAGGAAAAAAAGTCGGAAAAATGAAATCTTTGAATCAGGAAGAACTTGAACCTACAAGATCTACCCATGTCTGGGCAGCAACTAAACTACCACCACCTGGCCCATGGCATAGACATGATGAACTATAAACAAAGAAATGTTACTACACCTTGACATATGCATCATTTCACTATCTATAATCAAGGAGAAAAACTTTAATATTCAACACCTTTGACCTAAACAACTAAATTTGTTAACTTTTAAGATATTGTACCTTAAAGCCCCACTGCACTACTTACAGCTACTTGCGCCCACTATATAGCAAACAATGCCTGATTGGTGACCATTGGTCCCCCATGATCCTCTTTTTCTTATGTTAATTGAGAGCTGATTTGATGAGATAACGACAATGCAGAGAGGTCTAATCCCTCCTGGCCAAACTAGTGCAGAGGGGTTTTAAGCATTCAAGTATTTGTTATGTGTTGATGCTTATGTAAATGTATATACCGACCCATTCCTTTCATTGCTTTCCTTAAGATTTCTGCCTCTTTCTGTCCGTTGAAGTTTGCTTTAGGCTTCACTGTGCCTGTTCCCTGCGAGGAAGAAAGAGAGACAGAGAGTTAGGTAGAGAGACAGAGAATAATTGAATAAAATGCAGAGTACTAGAAAATTATATAGAGACATTAGAGACCATATTTTCCATTGATATCACAATATAATTTATCACTTCCTCACACTGTTTCTTTGATATAGTGATGCTCTTAATGGGCCTTTGAATTAAAGAGAAGAAAGTTAGAGGAGAGACGAAGAGAAAAAGAGTGGTATGAGACAGAGAGAGAGTGAGAGTCAGAGGGGGGAGAGAGAGATAGAGAGAGAGAGAGAGAGGAAGAGGGAGGGGAGAGAGGAAGAGAGAGAGAGAGAGGGAGAGAGAGGGAGAGAGAGGGAGAGAGAGGAAGAGGGAGAGAGGAAGAGGGAGCTGGATATATATATATAGAGAGAGAGAGAGAGAGAGAGAGAGAGGGAGAGAGAGGAAGAGGGAGAGAGGAAGAGGGAGATAGATATATATAGAGAGAGAGAGAGAGAGGGAGAGAGGGAGAGAGAGAGGACAGAAAAACAAGAGAAAAAAGGAGGGGAGAAATAGAGAGAGAGGGAGGGAGGGAGAGAGAGAGAGAGAGAGAGAGAAAGAGAGAAAGAGAAAAATTGAAGGAGGTAGGGAGAGAGAAAGAGAGAGAGAGAGAGAGAGAGAGAAAGGATGCATCTAAATTTGCAACTATCTTTAAATCATGTTGTATCACATCCTCCATTAAACCAAACTTATACTCACTCGAACGATAGCCCCTGCTGATAGTGACATGTTGGCCATTTGTTGTGTTGGCGTGCTAGATTTGGCAACTACTGGTGCCTGCAAATCAAGATTTGGAATATTCTAATTAATGTTAAGAAAGAAAAAAAGTATCACATGGAAGGGTACTACGGAACCACCTGCACACAATTCAAACAAAGAACACATACAAATTACTGGCAACAACTACATACTACATGCAAAGATATTTCTGCTTTGAAATGTTTTTCAATGTGGTAATGACTTGCAGATGATTTTGTTGTAAAAGTACAATCCTTACTACCAATGTAACCTCAAAAGTATTAGTTTTCTACTTCAAGGCGCAAATACTGTCTTGCAAGAAAAATGTTTGCAAAAAATGCCAGATGATGTTGTCTCCCTACACAAATCGAACAATCCATAAAGACACAAAGCAAAGAATTTTCAAATATATGACCAAACTATTGTTCTGACTTGTAGCAAAGTTTGCCAATCTCTGATGAATCCAGATGACGTGTACTGGGAGAACAAATACGATGCACAATTAAGACAAAAATGTGCAGACTTTGCAGGAGCTCAATTCATATATACTGTCCTGTGGAAAAAACATATAGCAATATATTCCTGATGCTGCAGTGCAAGTGCATATGCATGTATGAGGAAGTGTATGTATGTATATTTCATCAATAGCACAGATGTTTTTGATTAATATTCAGTATGATAATATGTACACGTATGATGCCCATTGTAGAGATAATTCAATAATAAACAGGCATAAAGATCGGGTCAACATATGGAACGTGCACTTGAATAGTCATCAACTATTGACTGAATGATGACAAATAGCACTGTTGATGAATGTGATACATATCCCTTGTATGAATTAGGGCGCGTTTATCAAGGCTTGCCACTAGATATGTACATATCGTACCCCACTATCAAACCCCACTATCGAACCCCACTATACGATCGTGATTTGCGGGATGTCGCGTTTATCGTCCCTTCACGATTCAAAATAAGGCCTTGTGTCTGCCCAGCTGTTTTGACCCGGGAAGCAGACAGTTTCTCGGAGGTCATCTTCACACACATGCTTGTACACAACACCTGGGGGGTCCTATTTGTATGTGAGGTTCAAAACAGCTTTGCGTTTATCGATCTCTCAGAAACGTGATTCTGGCTGTATGTCACATTCAAAACGCACCTTTTTGCGTCTTTAGATATGCCCATATCTAAAGACGTTTGAAAAAGGCTTTGCGTTTATCAACTTCTAAATTTGCCTGAAAGACGTTTGAGAAACCTGATTCTAGCCAAAAATTTGCTAGATAAACGCAACCTTAGATACATATCCCTTGTATGAATTAGATATATATACAGCATGTGTTTTATAACAATAATAATTGGATCAATTTATATAGCGCACTAAGTGCAGCAACTATAAATATATACTACTGCCCTGTGATGAAAACAAAATTGAATGTCTGTGTTTTATGTGTGTGTATGAATATTAAACCATGTACCTATATTATGTAAATAATGCATTAACATAGCACAATATAATCACGAATAAATAGAACCCTCAAGATAATGTATGTACTTCACTGGGGCTGCAGAACAAGGTTTTAAATAGTAGCATGAGAGGACGTCTGAAATTGGAGGTGAATATTTTTTTCATATTGAATTACTGGTATGTACAAATTTTGTGGAAGTAGACAGTAATTCTGATCATTTAGAAGGTCCTGAATTTGTTCTAAAAGCTTATTTGATTATTTTTACGGTTTTAACTTTAAAAACTAAAGAATTAAAGAAATACCACTTTACTTTCTTGACCTGATACAAAGATATGCATTTTTGCTTTGAACAAGGAAAATACGAATGAAACCCATGCCCGTACATGGCACAAGAGCAAGCTCAAAAGGTGACCTCATACAAATAAGGTCAATTTAAGTCATTAGGGGGTGGCCTCGGGGTAATGTGCTGATAATTTTTGTCAATCTGAGCATTGGATCTTGATATAACATCACTAAAAGTAATAAGCAATCAGGAACACAAGGTAATTAGTCACAGATTTAAAATTATTCTAAAATTTCTTAAAAATTAGAAACATCCTTATGGACTTTCTTTGATAAAGATTTAATGAAGCGCTACGTATGCAAGATTAAGAGTTTGACGTAAACAAACTAAGATATCCCTAAAATAAACCAGATTGAAATCAAAGTCCACAACAAACTACTTTGCTGATTAATAACAAACAAGAAGCAAGAAGTATGTCTTAGGCAGGACAGACTTCCTACGGCCTCTAAAATTATTTTTGGCCGATCTCTCTTAACAAGTTTGACGTCATGCGAAACTTGACGATTTTCATTACCGGTATCTGGCAAATCTTTATAAAAATTTGCATTGTAACTGCAAAAGTTATGATATAAAGTAGTTATGGTCCAATAAGGGATGTCTGATATTTATCTTTGCAGTTTGCAATACTGCAAAAAACGTAACACAATCAATTAATGGAAGTGCTATGAAAACAATAAAAGAGAAAAATACAGGTACAAGGCCCTACGTAACTTTACATGTACTTATAGATTTTATAGAAATATTTTTACCTCTTTTGCAGGGATAGAATTCAAACAAGATGAAAGGAAACATAGAGATACGCTTACATTTTCTCTCTTTTTTCAATCCAGTCACTTACAGTTAACAACAGCTTTGGAGTGACCTCCCCAATGAATTCACAGAATCAACCTCACTATATTCGTTCAAGCGCAAGCTGAAATGTCATCTCCAATTACGCTATACTAGTAGAAGAAGCATGATGCTCTTTTAATAATACTGTCGATGTTCAAACTGAATGTTTCTTTTAGTTTGCTGTTGTTACCCTGTGCCTGGTGACGGGCCGTTGCCTTCACCTGCAGGGATGTCATTGTGCTTCGGTGGCCGGGGAGCGGGGAGCGAGGTGCATGCTTTGTTTGTTGTTAATGTCTGTTCGACCTAGCAGTGACAGGTTATGCACTTCGCGCTCCTGCTGTTGAGTTCCAGTGATTACTACAGTTGGATATGGCGGCTTGTCATCGGGCTAACATATTTAGTTTTACATAAATGTGTATCAAAAAAAAAAAAAAAAAAAGTTCTATTCATGTTTGTTCCATCATACCAAGATGCTGGCGTCATTGACAACCAATCTGTTCGCCAGCGCGGCTACACTTAAATTTTCTACAACATCGTACTTTACCGGCACACAGCCAGCGACACTCCCTGTCAATTGATGCCGATATCTTGGTATGCTCCTATGAGAATTGCCATTGCGTACGGGTAGTGAAAATGATATTGCTAAGTACAACTGTATATGAATATTGTTTATTTTTTCTTCATAATAAGTTTCAATTTAATTAAATTACGTTTTTTAATATACACAAGACTATGTCATTGTTGTAACTTCCGGAGCCTATGACCTACAAGCATTGCTTTCTCTTTAGGCTCCATCATATTTCTTCCTTTATATAACTTAGTCATATGTATTGTTTTTGTTTTTTTGTATAAACGCATCCTAAAATGAGTACAAAATGTAACATGCTAAATGTAATGATGTATTATACAACATGTGAAATATGAAAATAAACTGAAACTGAAACTGAAACAGAAGTATTCATACCTCTTGTAAATTTAATGCTTTGTGTGCTGTTCGTAACTCAAGAATGAAAGGTGGACTAGTATACCTTTAGATGTACCGGTAATATGTCACACTCTCAAGAAACATAAATTGGGCCAAAACAAATCTTCACATACTTAAATAATTACAAAACTTGGTATAAAGGATGTATAATTTAGTTGTTAACTGCATGTACATGATTACCAAGCTTGATAGTACTAACTAAATAGTATTTCAATAAAAAGTTTGACTCTTGACTTTGCAGCCATAAAACAGAAGAGACCTTTCAAAAGTTTCTTCTTGTAAACCCATACATGTATGATGCCAAACACACTCCATTCACCTCATGATAATTAAGATTGACTTTTATTCCCAACTTACAAGCCACAGCAATCTCAACAGATCCTCAATACAGATTATAAACACCTGTACTTGGAAGGAAACAACTTTCCCCCAATTTCCTCACAGCCCCTCCTTCGAAAAGGTATCATATCCAAAATCTTGACGCTCAAAGAAACCTAGCATAACAAAGTGAGTGAGTGAGATATCAAGCCTTCAAAGGAAGGTATATTTCCGACATAAAACACAAAACCACAACGACAAACATGCAATTTTCTTCTCACCTCGCTGAGTTCGCTCATGCTGTATGAGAAAATCTGAATATCACAGATCAAAGATAAGACGACAAACTATGCTAGGATGCTTCTAATTACAAAACTTCTTTGAAAATCTTTCCTCGCTGTCCAAATCTTGATGTCCGAATCTTGGTGATACACAGCAGAAAGTCCCACACGTCTCAGAAACAAGATCAATTGACTAAAGTCGGTTTCCTCAAAAACAATCGAAATTGCAACCACCCCTCGGCTAAGACTGATAACGGACTGCGAGTCGACGCTTGTATTTATACTCGGGAAGATCGTAGAGATCTTGGCACCTCACTCAAATGCCAGGTCCCTGCACACACGATGACGTGATTCTTGTGACGTCGAGTGAGCTCGAAACCTCGCACACGTGTCGTAACAGGATGGCCGCGATTCCGAGTGCTGGCCAGAGCCGATGAATCACGCAGCCCGAGTCATAACATTGCAAGGATGTCTATTTATAGCCCATGATGTAATGGAAATAACCTGACTAGACTTTTTCCACATCTTTCTGACATGTAGAATACAATACTCTACAAGATAATTTGAGAACTTTCCTTTTCCTATTCTGCTATGACATCACCATCTATTCATTAGTATTTTATCATCAATACTTTTGTATTGCTCTTGTCTCATCTTTAACAGCAATGTCTATGATCATTATTAACATTTGTTCGTTCATTCTTATGATGTTTATGTAATACTTGTTTCAAATCTATTTCAGAAAATCTGTGAATCGACTACTCTTTCAATTTTATTCTTGTATCAATATAATGTTTTCTCCTATCTGTCATATT